ACCCACCCCTACCACCCCACCCCAAAAAAAATTAAGTTTGTTTTTAAAAAATATTTTCAATTTCAAAAATTATTTTCTACCCTAGTAAAAATAAAAGATATTTCTCAAAAAAAAAATCATTCATAAATCAAATACTAAAAATCTTTTTCGGAAACTATTTTCTACTCACCAACCAAAAATGAGAAAATAAGTCAAAAATCAACTTGTTTTCCAGGAAAACATTTTCCTTCATACCAAACACACCCTAAGTATTATCAAGATATACCATACTTGAAGAATTAAAAGAAAAACAAGTCGTTCAAGTGGACAAGCAGAATGCTGAAAGTATATCACATATGCAAATGATTGATTTAATTTTGCATTTTTAATATTAAATTACATACAAAGCTTTTTGTGTGGAACTCATGAAAATAATATTTGAAAAATCGACTAAGAAAGTGAAAGAGAAACAGAGACATACGTGTATCCTGAATCATCGTCCCGCCTACTTGAATTTCTGGAATATGGGAAATGTTGGACCACTGGGAGTTTGGGCTACTCCGATTGGTGCAACTTTCTTCTAACTGTGGGCAGCTTCCAATTTCCAGGTACAGTAATTTGGTGAGGCGTTGCATGGCATCTCTGGATGGCAGATGTTTTAGTTTTTGGCAGTGATGTAAAACTAATTTTTCCAAAGAAACAATGTTGCCGAGCCCATCTGACAGAGCTTCTAACAATGGACAAGCATATATCCTGAGATGCCGTAATTTTGACATGGAATCTGAGAAGTCCAAATGCCATAGCCGCTCGCACTCCTCTACTTGTAATGTTTCAAGAGAAGTAAGGTTGTCAAATCTATGAGGAAGAGCCTCCATTCCGAAATTGCATATTTTGATCTCTGTTAGGGCAGAGAGTTGCATAAGCTGATAGGGCAGAGAATCCCAGTGCCCACGTCCCCACACACCCAATCTACGAAGGGACAACAACTGCTGAATGCCATTAAAAATCAATTGGAATGCCTCAAAATTCACCATCTCTGAGAAAGGACCAATTTCCAATCTCCTTAACCCGGTGAGACAGTGAAGGCCTCCTGCGGGTACACTAATCAATTTGGGACAATCTGATAAATCCAAATAGGAAAGTGAAGGCATTTCCCACACGTGTAAAGGCAATGAAACTAAGTTCTTACAATTGCAGACATTAAAAACTATCAGAGACCGACAATGCTCTAGAATTCCACTTGGTAAGCTGGTCAATCCATTACAATTGAATAAATCCAACCTTCGGAGGTTAGTCAAATAGTTCTCTCCACAGGGAACAGGAAAAGAACTGAAATTGGTGCAGTTGGCAATCATTAATCTCTTAAGAGAATGGAGATTGTACAAGCTTTGTGGCAATTCACGAAACTCTCCGCAGTATGAGACTGATAGGTATTGAAGAGAAACGTTGTTGCGTAGAATCTCATCTGGAAGACAAGTGAGCTCTTGCACATTCCTAACAGAAAGATCCACAAGAGATGTCAAGTTGCTGTACAAGTTCAACAATGGCATTTCACTGTCAACTAATTCAATTCTTAATTCACGCAGGATTTCAAATTGACTTGGAGTACTTTTTAACAGTGAACAGTCTGTAATCGTCAACTTCTCAAGCCTAGGAAACATTCTAACACCAACTTCATCTCCCTTCCACTCAATAAGGCTGCGCATATTCTCTAATACTAGTTCTTTCAATGACGGGAACACTTGGATAATGCTGCTTGATCCATTATTGCTAATCTCAACACCATATAAATCAGGTCCAATGCATTCCAACTCATGGAATCCTTCCAGCTCAAGATGCCGAAGGAATTTCAGTTGGCCAAGGGATGGAATTTCTTTGCACCTTTTGCAACCACTTAGTTTCAACTTGACCAAATTTGGTAGCAACTCTTCACTGAACCATGAAGGAAATTTAGTCCCTAAATAGTCCACTACTGATAAGGCTTTCAAGTTAGGATGCGGTTGAAGACCATCCAACACATGCTCATCATTGATCTCACAGCCTTCTGATTCATCATGGAACCATAAATATGCTAGATTGTAGATATTTGGTTTCTCCTTTAAATATGCTGTTTGAGCATCTTCTTTATTTCTGACTAATTGGAGACATCTGATCGACAATTCACCTCTAAGGTTTTTCAAACGACCTAATTCTTCAATTCGACGACCTTTCTCTAAGCCTACGTAGAAAAACTGTAGCGTCTGAAGACTGGTCAATTGCCCCATATTAAGTGGCATCTGAAACTGATCATAAATTGATGGTTTGTAATATACGTGTCTCAAACTTATCATTTTTGCCAATTCTTTTGGAAGCTTCCTGAGTGAAGAACAGTCATTGACTCTAAACGTTTGCAAATTGTAGAGCTTGCAAATGGAGTTGGGAAAGTCTTTGATCTGAGTGTTGGAGAGATCAAGATATCTCAAGTATATTAGCTTGCTGATTTTGGCTGACAACTCCTTGATGCCTGATCCAGACAAATTTAAAAGTCTCAAGAACTGAAAGCTCAATAGCATATCATCAGATATATTGCTTTTCCAGAACAATGTGCACAAACGTCCTGCCTCATTTATCGTATCCATTTGATCACTTGGTGAGTCCCATCCAATGTATCGAACTTGAGAAAGATTTTCACCTCCAACACTTTTCGTATCAAATAGTTTAGATTTTAATGTATCTCCAGCCAAATCATGCACAAGATCATGCATCTTACAGTGTGTTATATTGTTGTGCTCATCTAGCTCAACATCTTGCAGCAAGGAATATTGCAACAAAAGTTGAAAAAACTTGTTCCCTACGTCTTCCATAACAGGAATCTCTTGACTTGGACGAAGAAACCCTTCTGCCATCCAGAGTTGGACTAGTTGGTTCTTTTCAAACTTAAAATCTTTTGGAAACATTGCAAAGTAAGCAAAACATTTTTTTAGATATGGAGATGGTAGATGAACATAGCTGAGTTTTAGGATTTTCTTTAAGCTATTTTCACCTGCAACAAGGGGGTTTCCATCAAGAATTGCCTGCCATTCATGCTTCTCCTTGTTGCGCAAGAGGCCTCCCAAAACACTTGCAGCCAACGGTAGACCTTGACACATTTCAGCAATCCTGTTCTCCACACTCAGTATTTCCTCCGGAACTTCCCCATCAACAAATGCTCTTTGTTTGAAAATCGACCAACAGTGATCTTTTTCTAATTTTTCCAACATATGAGGACCTACTGCTGCTACTACAGTGGATGCCACCAATTCCATACGAGTAGTCACAAGAATGAAGTTTCCTCGGGATGTATTTATTCCTCTCAAGGTGTCCACAAACTCATCCCACAATGTTGGGTCAACACGCCACAAATCATCCAGGACAATCAAATACTTTCTTCCTGCCAGTTCATCTCGGACCTTCTTGACTATAATATCTCTACTCTGGACCTCAAGTTTCCTCTCAGTCAATGCTTCGAGGATCAGTTCAAGAAAGCTCTTAATTTCTGACATTTCAGGTAGACATAACCATACTCTCTTTTCAAAGTGCTTCTCGATCTGTTCATCATTGAAAATTCTCTTGGCCAAAGTTGTTTTGGTAGTTTTCTCTAAACCCCCCATGCCCACTATGGGAATGGCACACCGAACAACTTCCTCTCTCATGTTCAACATCTTCTCCTTTATTTCAGCAACATCTTTGTCTCTACCAACAACATCCGAAGCAACTCCTAAGGAATCTGTTTCTCTGATTTGTAGTATTTTGCGAGAAGGAACAGTCAGTGATTGGAGACCGAGGTCATTGGCTAACTGATTGATAGCCCTCAACTCTTCATTGATGTTGTTGATTTTTCGAGACATTTTGTACTTAAAAGCAGTATTAGAAAAGAAGCTATGAACTTTTTCCAGTAGTTTGGCTCGGTTTTTCATCACTTGTGCTTTGAGAGATTCATATGTGAATTTGTCAAACACATTTTCAGCATCTTCAGCAACTCTCTCAAGCATCTTGAGCCATTCTTCCACAGCCTGATCTTCGACTTGTCGTCTTTCAGCATCATGAATGAAAGCTTGGATGATGGATACATATTTTGTGAGCATTCTGAGATTTTTCTTGCAGTTCCTTAAAGTTTTGGCCTCCTCAATAGTGAGAGAAAGCAGCTTCTCAAGCACAACTTGAACAGTAGCACCAATTACTGGATCGGCCATTGTTATTTTTGCTCCTTCACAAAGTCGTCTTCTTTTGCTAGTTCACGGATAAAATCAGAGGACTGTTTCCAGTTACCTGAAAGCATAAATAAGAAAAAATTGTAACTGACCAGTTTTTTTATCCTTAAGCTATATGCACTTAAATTACTAAATTGTTGAAAATTTTGAGAACATCATCTGGATAGAGCATAGTTGAGTGGCACAGACATTATCAAAGGTCATCGTCTCAGATTTACTCATAAGTCATCAAATTAGACAGAAGAAAATCAGATGAAATCAGATGTTTTCTTATAACTCCTGTCTATGATACCAAGTTGTTACGTTCCCGTGATATGGATCAAGTTATGGAGTGCTGCAAGATTAAATGAGATGTTTTCTTCCTATGGTCACTTTCCAATTAGTACTTGAGGTGTGTTTTAATACAAAGATTGTGATAGTTTTATTATCTAACTCGCGAAAACACACAGGATTGAGGTGTGTTTTTAGCCATTTAACTCTATGAAAAACTTAAACATTTCCCCTGCAATTACATACTAATCACTTACCTTATCTAAAGGATTTAGCACTAACCTTATCTTCCACAAATTCAATAAGGAGACACATTTTGAACCTTTTGTCTGGTAAAAAACCTAACGGAAATTTGGGTTGGGATTAAAAGTGCACCACTTTATCGAATAACTAGTTCTAGTTTATCCCAAAATACTTCATATAAATTTTGATTGCAAATAACATATTTTATGTCCTTCAAATCTATTGATATTTACTAAAAAAATCATCATTTTTACAATAGAAAGTACATAGATTTTCCTAATAAAAAGAATATATAAGTGCATAAAGTAAAATTAACTAACTATTGTACAAATACAATATTCAAATGAGGATTCTAAAATACCACATGCTAGGCTAACGTATACAAAGCAACAAAACATAAAGCATAGATATTTTCTCATTTTTTTT